GAGTAAAATTTTGTTCCTGATGTCTTGTCCCGACAAAACATTAACCAAATACAAAATGAGCAACAATCCGACGTTGCACCGTGCACTATTTTCGGAAGCAAGACCCACCTCATAATACATTTTAAAAGCAAATTGTGAACGCCATTCACTGTGACCTCCATATATTAGCTATTATCGAGGATGCCTTGTTGCTGGAATTCCCGGCGACTAAATTCTGACATTGCAAGACATATGTGAGTGATATCACAGATGCAAATAACCAGACTGAAATTATAACTTATGAACACAACCGCTCCTACAGGACTGCTCAGGAAAATATGAAATAAGCCTCTCAGGATTACTATTTACCAAAAATGACTAAGTTCGCTAATGAGGTCGTCATTATTTGCAAAACATGCACCATGGTGAAATACAACAGACACCCCAAAAAATGCTGCATATCGACATTTACTCCACAGATAAAAAGTCATTTCTAACCTGTCTTGACAAATGTTTAAAGTTCGCTGTACTGCAACCATTACCTTCTAGGGCCATAGTAGACATGCGTGGACCCATCATACAACTGAACCATTATGAACTGAACTTTTTCCTAAAACCAAGAGCAACTGCGACTATAAGGCATCACTCAACTCGAAGACCATAAATTCATTGTTGAAAAAAAAGTATGGCATAGAAATCGTTAACGCACCTCTTTTGCATAGTAACTCCAATGGGCAAGTGGAACGATTTCACAACACCCTAATGGACCCGTCATGAGAGACACGGTAGAGTACAACAGAACGCTACACTCAGGCACAAATTTGCAACCCAAAGATGATATGCACTCAGCCAGCGACGAACAAAGGTTGACTGTATGGTCTTGCACCTGTGCAACCCGATAGTGGAAGCAACCTGCCCTTGTGGAGGTCCGAAATTCGCTAATTATGCGAGTGTGAGTATCCGTTGATGTGTGTCTGCCCGTGTGCAGACTAGAGTCCAAAAAAGTGCAATGAAACAGAATGTTTTTCTGAGTTTAACAAAGATCTGTATTGAACTGAATTCGCTGCTGAGTACAAAGTTTCATATAAGTGATGAGCGTGCAAGCTCGTTTAAGTTACAGTTAAATGGATCTTATTTACATATACAATTCGGTTTATGAATTTAGTATTCTTTAACAATATAAATTATATGACGTTCTCTAACATCCTCCCCCCGTTGGAAGGACTCAACAGATTGCTTAAACTGAGACCTTATGTCGACAACTTTGACTTTTCCGTCATCTCCAGAACAAGTGCTTAAGATTCGACCGAGAGGCTTGCGGAGTCAACTATTTGCTTTGAAGTCCCGTCGCCAGACGCTCTGCCAGCGAGTCCGACTGTTGGGATTTCGATCCTCCAGACATGGTTCCGGAAGCGCCTTTAGAGACGAACCTAACAAAAAATGCGGATTTCCTTCCTTCCTTTCATGTAAAATTATTCGGTCAACCCTCAATGACTTGCTCATACAATACAGCTGAAGACACCCGAAACAATCAGATTAGTTGAAGACACCCGAAGCACTCGAATCATTTTAAGACACCCGACTCATTTCAAGACACCCGACTCATTTTCAAGACACCCGTCTCATTTCAAGACACCCGACTCACTTTCAAGACACCCGACTTACTTTTCCCAAAAACATGGGTGTCTCAGACACTCACTTCATTTTCTATGAGTGTGTCGGGTGTCTGTGCAAAAGAGTACTGGGTGCGCAAGTGCACATTGGAATTGAGCTTGTGCAAGGCACTCACCCTTATTTTAGGGTGCCGATCACACTCTGAGTGCACAAAAGGCACACATGATTCGAGTGAAGTCTTAGTAATCCAATTAGCGCTTTGGGGCCTAAATGCTTACTAACATTGTGAAGATGTTCAACGTACTTATAGATGAACAAGTGATCGCTAGGAAGAAGCAATGGGAATCTCGCATCGACAGGGATTCGGGCGTTTGCTAGAAGGCCGACGACTCGAATTACTTGTATAGATCGATTGCCAATATCAGCTTCAGCTAAGAACGGTGTACAGTTGTGTCCCTTGTATTTGGCTAATAAAGGGTCATTGAAAGAAGGGGTTCCCAGGTAATGCAAACACTAACCGATAAATTCACAAATTCACGTTTTTTCTTATATATATATATAGTGCACATATGTAAATAGCGTACCGCGTTAGATAGCGATCGCGATCCCACGCATCGACCCAAAGTGCGAGAGCGATCAGCTGATCGCTCCCTGCTTCCAGCTTCCAGCACATTGGGACAAGCAGCAAACTTAACATGCGCCCGCCAAAGCTAGGCCTATCATGAGAAACCTTCGCTTAGACTGTTGGCGAATCTCCGGACGAGCATGCATCGAGTCCCCAATCAAGAAATGAGCCGGCGCCAAAATTGGGCGACTGAGGAGGACTGAAGAGCCACGTTGTCCGTTGTGACGCGAGCTTGGGGGATATAAGCTTATCGAAATCTTCTCGAAGCTTACCGAAGAACTTCTGCATTAGATTGTCCGCCCCGACAAAGTTATTCACGTTGTCACTGTAGTGGTGCTGCACCATCCCTCTCCTCCCGGTAAATCTGTCCAGCGCCAGTAAAAAATGTTCCGTGGTGAGCCCTGTCAGCGCATACAAGTGCACTGCCTTTGTTGCAAGGCAAATGAAAACAAGTCTCCCATGAGCTGGGTCGAGGCGGAGGACTGTGCTCGGATATACTGGACACATTTCCGTTAAACTCTTCGAACTGTCTGTCTTCCTGTCACTACCCAGAACCGCTGGCGTGTATGCGCTAACGTCAGCTACGCACCTCCGTGCAGAGTCAAAACATGCGAGTGCCATATTACCAGCTGAGTGAAATGATGAGAGCTTGGGAGTATTATCGGATGTCGGCGCTCATATGATAATTTAGAATGCCGTAGGCGCCCCGTAGGCGCTCAAAAGCTTACTTCGCGAAGGTAGCCGTTTACTGCCCCTTACTGCAGCCAAATCGCGCAAGTTATGTAGTCGAAGCTTTTATTCTCTTCGTTTACAGTTACCAAGAGAGAGAGAGAGATCACAAGCTCTCTCGACTACAAAGAAGACACAAAAAGCTTTTGAGCTGACTTGGTGAGCAGACGCGAACAATAGCACAACGTGAAGAAAATAAACTTAAGTTACAAAAATAAAAAAAAAATGTTATTTAGTTAAATAAAAACAGAACTATGTTAACAAAACTGGCGCAGTCGACGGAGGAGCCGAAAACATTAAAATACACTCTTAAGTGCAGCGTTGAGTGAATTGGTGTCATACATACATACTTACCAGAGAACGGCAAGGGTACACCCAGACAATGAGTGCACTCGAATCATGTGTGCCTTTTCGGCATTCAGAGTGTGATCGGCACCCTAAAATAAGGGTGTGTGCCTTGCACAAGCTCATTTCGAATGTGCACTTGCGCACCCAGTACTCTTTTCAACAGACACCCGACACACTCATAGCAAATGAAGCGAGTGTCTGAGACACCCATGTTTTTGGGAAAAGTGAGTCGGGTGTCTTGAAAATGAGTCGAGTGTCTTGAAATGAGTCGGGTGTCTTGAAATGATTCGAGTGTCTTGAAATGAGTCGGGTGTTTCGGGTGTCTTCGACTGATCTGAGTGTTTCGGGTGTCTTCAGCTGTATTGCATGAGCAGGTCATTGAGGGTTGACCGAATAATTTTACATGAAAGGAAGGAAGGAAATCCCAATAATGGCCCCTTAAAAAAGACCAAATATTTTAGGATTTTCCATGTCAGTCCATCTACCTGCTATTCGCAGTGCAATTGACTTATGATCTGTATTCTTATACGCATCTGCAAAAAACGGGAATACATTTGCAGGTAGATGGTTTGATAACAACACGGAAAATCCTAAAATATTGATGCAATGTACGTTTTTTTTGGGTTTTTTAAGACTTTGTCATTGAATACTTGTAATGATTATAAACTCTTATTTTTTAATATTAGTTACTGAAGACGGCAATAATTTGTATTATTAGAAATATACTTTTCTAAGATCAAATTATTGGGATTTCCTTCCTTCCTTTCATGTAAAATTATTCGGTCAACCCTCAATGACCTGCTCATGCAATACAGCTGAAGACACCCGAAACACCCGACTCATTTCAAGACACTCGAATCATTTCAAGACACTCGACTCATTTTCAAGACACCCGACTCACTTTTCCCAAATTATGGGTGTCTCAGACACTCGCTTCATTTGCTATGAGTGTGTCGTGTGTCTGTGCATTAGGATCATGTGCCTAGAATTGAGCGGGTGTCAAAAACGCAAACACCCAAAACGCACAAAGCGATCTGTGCACTCCGGGTGTGTGCTCTTTTCTTGCTGTTCATGAGTGCGACACACACTCGAAATGTATGAGTGTGATTCGGGTGCCGAAAAAAGACACCCTTGACGTTCTCTGATACTTACCTTGAGCATAACCTGAAAAGGCACGTTTTGTCAGAACATATCGGCTTCAAAGACTCGCAAAAGCGTGTATAACAAAAAACAAAAACCAACAGAGTGTTTTTGTGCATTGGATATTTACTGCATCCCATACGGCTTTGTGTTTAAACTAGAAATATCTAGTGCATATTTTTTATATTTTTTATGTATGTGTTAATGTGTGTATAAATCAGCAATTACACACACCAGAATCTCAGAGCGAACTTATTCCGTTCGTAAGTGGTTCGATGACAAGTTCATAAGAACGTTTGGTATCGATAAGCGACGAGAACTAACGAAACCAATTCTGTTGGAATATTGCAAGTTCTAAAGAACTTAACGGCTATTTATTTGTGACTACGAACAATGCACATTGGGATGAAATGCCTTAATTTTGGCCAAAACCTAAAAAGTACACGGTAATATATCAATAATGTTACAATTATTTCAAGCTTAGAAATGTCCCTAGACATCGAAAATATTTAATTTGAATTTTATTGCGCAGCCCTCGTCTTGCACCAGCTGTTTAAAGTCAGCTGTTCGTGCCACGTGGTGCGTGCAAGCTTAGTGATTAGTGAAATTCCTACATTTTGGCGTTCTCGTATTTTAAACAGTTTGACTAATTAAAATACCTTAAAATGGAAAATGTTTCGCATGGTATGTAGAAAATATTTGTATAAGTGTTTAATTATATGTGCTTTTGTGTTGTCATGTTTTTAATGTAATACGTAAACAGTATTTTGTTGATTCTAACCTTAAAATATTTGTGTTTCGTGGAGCATATCTAGCAAGATACAACAGGATTCAAATAACAACTTATGTATGAGTTATTATATGTATATTCAGTTAGCATTTAATTAATTTGCGGGAATTTTCGGGGGGGTTAAATATTTTAATAGATGCAAGCAAGCTTGCTATTCGTCGAGGTGACTTGCTAGAAGTTTGGCTGGATAAAAATCGCAGTGTCAACGCTACTTTTGACTGGGCTTGCGTCGAAGTAATTCCAAAATTTCCGGGAAACGATTTGGAGGCGATTAAAAACAAAATAAAAACCTTTATTGTTCAAGTTAAGAGACTGCTGACCAAAGCATACCGAAATATTCGTCGTTTCAAAGAAGAACATGCTAGCTGAGCCTTAGCTGAGGCCTTAGCATTTATTATAGAAAACTCGTTTTCCAAGCAGCAATATATTAACATACGCTTAAAGAGTATCGAAAGGTGAAAGGTGTGGGAAGCTAAGGAAAAGTGAGGTTAACAGTCAAAAGTTCAAGCCTATACCAAATTAATATCAGTACGGAGTTAGTCCCCTCCACGCATGGATTAGGTTTTTGGAATTCGTTCTCAACATCTCATATCGTGTTAGTATTCAAAAGTGGCGAATTAGTACGGACTCTGAGAAAGAAATAATAATGGTACGCAAGAAGGACATTGAGCGAAAGCTTTGGTCTGAAATGGGGTTACATATTAACAAACCAAGTCAGAATGGTTCTGGAAATTCGAACGATGGCAATACGGCACGAAGAGCATTTTCGGATGTTAAATTATTTGCCTCAATATTTCAACTGGATGAGGAGCTTTTAAACAAACTACATATCATTTTAATAGTTTTATCATGCGAATATGACGTTTGTTTAAGTAAGTTTAAGAAATTTTGTAAAGAAACGCTGCGTTTGCATTTAATTAAATATCCGTGGTATCCAATGACCGCTACGGTCCACAACATTTTAGTTCATGGTCCAGAAATAATTAAATCATCTGTACTTCCTGTTGCTTGCTTAGGCGAAAACGCATCTGAGGCTCGCAACAAATATTACAAGCGCGATAGGATTTTTCATGCCAGGAAAAATAGCAGAGTGAACAATTTAACCGACGTATTTTAGCGAGCTTTGGATTCTTCTGATCCTTACTTATCAAGCATCGCTCAAAAAAGAGTTCAAAAACACACTCGTTGCCAAGTGAAGTTATTGCACTTTTAGTTTCTCCAAAACCGGAAGATGCAGTCCAAGTATATAGTGTTGAAGACAAGATTAAAAGTATACTATATTTTGATTTTGATTTAGGAGAAGAACGTTTATATTAATACAAGTTTATGTACTTATTTTTAAGTTTTCGTTAATTAAGCTGTTTTATAATATGCAAAAATATTAAATTATATAAATTTTCTTACAATTGTGGATAAAAAAAAATGAAGAGTGTAATTAATATGAATTTTATAAATACAGCAGTTCTATTATGTGGGCGGCAAGGAAGGCATGGTTGACGATTTCACTTTATCGTTTGGAGATATTCATAAGGATGCCCACCACATTCACGAGTACAGAGGAGACCATTCAAGAGCTCTATCATCATTCATTCGTGAAGTGCAGATGATATTTTCACTATTACCTCCCACATCTACTGCAGAAGCTTTCGTGTTTAGCCGTGTCATACTCAACAAAATCCAAGGCGGGGCTCTACATGTTGTGAGAGCCATCGAGAATTCCGAGCCGTCATGGGATGACATCAAGAGGAGGAAAGAAGTCCTATAAACAACTTTACCAAGAGCGTTTATGCTAAGTAACAACAACAACATTACAGAATATTTTAAGTCTTTAAGAAGTATAATGTATAAAATTAATGAAAAATATGAATATGATAACGTAAAGCATTCTGAGTTCAGTCCCAAAAATGTTGAAGAAGCTATGCTAAGAACATTCTTGAAAAATATTGATGTAAATTTACCTTCAGTCATAATTAATATAAATGTAAAAAATTTAAGAGAAGCTTTTGATTTATTGGAAACCGAAGGTCTTGTTAGAACTCAAAATGTTAAAACAAAATTTCCTCAAAGTATAGAAAAAACGAACAAAACGGAAAATCAAAAAAAAAACTAAATTATAATAATCAAGATAAGAATGCAAACCGCAATAACAATTTCCAAAATTTTTATTCAGGTAACTTTCGATCAGGAACACAAAATTTAAATTCAAATCAGAACTGTACAAATCAACAAAGCCATATTTCAAAAATGGTAATCGATCATGTCGAGGTAGATAAAACTAATTGTAACCAATGTAAATATGATAATCCAGATCAAAGCTTCACTTCTGAATAAATGTCAGAGCCAATGAACGGTTCTTGCCATGCAAATTTTCAAATAGTTGCCTCGAAAAATCACTTCCCTTAATTAACTTAACTATAAACAATGAAATAATCACAGCCTTGATTGATACTGGTTCAACAACTTCCATGTTAGATAGAAATAAATTGTTACAATATCCTCGAAGAACTTTGCGTCATCCAATATAATTTTCATCTCTAAGTTCAAAATCGCTAATAACGCAAGAAATAATAACCGATTTTTCTCTTGAATTTAAAGAAGATGCCACAATGAGTTGGAAATTGACAACATTTAATAACAAATCGTACGATGCTATAATAGGTCAAAATATTATCAAGCTATAAACGCTGTTATTGATTTTTATTATAATACAATTACAATTAATAATAATATTATCCAATTTCAAAATAGTTCACCATACTCTGATGAGGTAAATCAAATTGAACCAATTGAAATAGATGATAAAATACAAAATATTCTTTTCAATGATTTAAATCAAGAGGAAAACAATGCTCTTACTAAAATTTTAAGAAAACCTAAAACATTAATATTTCTTGAAGGTCAGTGTCTTAGCAATAGCAATTCTCCATATAATGCCCCTCTATGTGTTGTACAAAAAAAAAACTGATAACAGTGGAACAAAAAAGTGGCGTATAGTTATTGATTATCGCAAATTGAATGAAAACACAGTAGATGATAAGTTTCCTGTACCAAATATAAAAGGTATATTGGATAAGTTAGGAAGAGCGCAATATTTTTCTACTATAGATCTCACGAAAGACTTTCACCAAATTCTTGTTCAGGAACAAGATAGGGGAAAGACAGCGTTTTCTACTCCTTACGGGCATTACGAATTTAATCGGATGCCCGGGGGATGCCCGGGGCTCTAAAAAAGCTTCTGCCACATTTCAACGCCTTATAAACACAGTCTTAAAAGAAGAAATAAATAGAAGTTGTATTCTATCGTCTATCTTGACGACGTTCTTATTTCTTCTAGTTTTTCAGAACATGTTGGCCACGTTCATACAATTTTAAAAAAACTCTCTGAAGCAAATCTTAAGATTCAAATCAACAAATGCAAATTCTTTTCAAAAGAAACCCAGTTTTTAGGTCATGTTTTAACCCCCGAAGGAGTTAAGCCTAACCCATAAAAAGTTAACAGCATTCTTCGGATTAAAATTCCGAGAAATATTAAGCAATTTCTAGGATGACGGGGTATTATAGAAAGTTCATAAAGGATTTCTCGCAAGTAGCTTATCCATTAATTAAATGCCTTAAAAAGGATGCCAAGATAGATGTAAGATTGTTATACTTATAGTCAATGCCATTTATTAAGGGTCGAAATGACTGACGAAACCGTTATTTATAAACTTGCTCTATTTAGTAAATGTAGTAAATTTTAAATTTAAATTTCTGAAAGCAAAATTACAAATATTTATCTAAATGGAGACTCTAGTTGTTTCAGGAAAAGCTTCCACGGTTGTTGTGCCGTAGGCCTGATGGTAAAAGACTATTAGAGTAGTCACCTATCACGACGAAACCCATTGAGTAGACTATAATCTTTTGTATATCTGCTCTTCCGTAAATTTCGTAACACCTTTCTGCCGCTATTTTACATTTTTTATTATTTAAAATAATTTCCTAGTTAGGCCACAGCGGATATGCGCTTTACTAAAAATTAGTAATTCCGATCAAATCCGCTGTGTGGCTACATTAGCCTCCCTCCCTAGTGAAGTCGTTTCGATTAAATGTATTGATTTCGTTGCTCCTCTAAGTCTTATGATTTGTTACAGCTTCCAAGTAGGGAGTCGAGTTGAACGCCACTTCTAAGTATAAGCCCGGATTTCGATATGTCCACAGACACTTCCACTTCTTTGCTATTGACAAGTAAATACTTGGTTATTGTAGCGATGTACCACTTTGAATGGGCCAGTATATGGTGGGTCTTGCTGGCGGCTTGACGGCATCGGCGCTGGTATACGCGGGGAATACGTGGGTGAATTTGTCTAATTCTTTAAGACGCAACATTTTTTGGATGCTTTGGCGGTCGAATTATTTGAATCGGTTTACGAAAACTAAGAATAAAGGTTGCAGGATCTATGCTTGCGTCGATGTCTTCGGAAGGGGTGCCTTAAACCACTTGTGCGATCATGACATTTGTGTGTGTGTTCCTTTAGCTGAATTGTTCTCAACGAGATAAATTCGACAGTTAATTTCCGAAAATATATGTGCAGTATGTATTTTAAAAAGTAATTTCCGAATACGCAGAAATATACAAATCAAAATTATACACATTCTATATTGCTGAATTTGGTCATGACATTTTAGCCGAGACTTAGCTTAAACCATATTCCTGTACAGGTTTTCCAATCACTTCTTATATTTATAGAACAGATCGCACTTCCCGTGGTTTTAGCGGGGTGCTTATTGATGTGAAGTCTTGTTTTAGGTTTTTAACTTGAAGTTTTAACTTAAAATACGTAATAGATTTGAGCGAAAGCGTACTTTTCCGCCGTTCAATTATTTACAAACGAGTTTTTCCAAAAAGTGGAAAATGCCAGTTTCACTCCGAGCTACAAAAAATAAAAACGTTCGACTATCTTACGCTCAAAGCGAAAGTTTATCAGCTTAATCTTAATAAGTGAACCAAATATATTGTTATCACTAGAGCCGATAATGCAACGTTTGACAAATATCAAACTTTTACTTTTACACTTCGCCTGTAATGGAGCAGTCGAAACTTGTAAGAAAACCAGATCTGGCACCAGACCTGGCACTTGTTTAACAAAAAACTATATACAGGCACAAAAACTACTCAAAATGCAGTATTTTTACAACTTCCCGGTCCGCGCTAAAGAGCACAATACTCTGAACTCCTCCAAAGGTATTATCCACGATCAACGGAATATCGACCTACAAGAAATCTTGGAGGAACGAAAACCTGAAAATGTTATTGACGTAAAATAGACAACGATATAAATAAAACGACAGAAACAGGCCTAATCGTATTAACCTTTTCAACCATTACCCTTCCCGACAAATTGTGGATAGGTTATGAAGTAGCTAATATACGACCATACATTCCAACCCCAATGAGTTGCTTCATGCGTCTAAGATTTGGACACCCCTATGCCTTCGCTAAAAGTCCAAAAAAATATGCGCCAAATGCTCCGAAAACTTCAGACAGCAAATAATGAACCATGCACCAATACTGAAACCTGTATTAACTTTAAATACGAAGATGACGAAATTAAACACCACAACGTAATGGACAAATCGTGCCCCGCCTTTATCAAACAAAAGGAACTGAATGCTATCAAAACAACCAAAAAAGAGGCTAAAAGACAGCCCGCAGCCACGCCATACACCATTTCCCTACGCCCAAAAAGCAACAATTCCAACATACAAAGCACTAGCTATAAAAACAAAAATGAATACAATATTATAAACAAGCTCATCATCACCAAATCTTATGGAAAGACATATTACCGAAGACTCCTCTAAAGAAACATGGACACCAACGCGTCAACATTGTACTCCACACATTTCCGACGAAGCTAAATCACATTAGCTAAATCAGCTAAATCGAATAGCTAGGTACCACCTAGCAAAAACAAACAAGAAAATAAAATACAAAATTATACAAAATATATTAAAAAAAATTATTTTAGTTCAGTTAGCTTTAACCTATATTCTTATTCTTAATATGCTGAAAATATTAAAATTAAACGTAAATGTATACCTCAATAATTATAACCACGTACAAAGACGCATAAAAAAGCACTACCCTATAATAATATCCATTCAAAATGCACACCTCTGTCTACCAATATTACGGCAACAACAAAAAACCCAAATCCGGAATTTAAGCATTGACACAATCGCCGTAACCGTACAATTAAAAATCAAATTCATTATAATTTCCTGTTTTATACCTCCCAATAAATCATTTAGACACTTAAAACAAGAGGAAACGCTTTAGTCGAGTGCCGCGACTATAAGATACCCGTTACTGTTTTACACAATTTTAAAATATTCATTTTGCCAGTGGAAATTACCCAAGCGCCACCTATTGTCGGAGAAAGCATGTCGAGTAACTGATAGTGACGTCACTGCCCATGTGAGGCCTTATAACCTAAATTTCTTAATAAATAGCGAAATAATGTTCCGATTTGAAAAATCTTTTGTAAATCGATAGATATTAACAGAAATAAGTTATACAACGTCAAACGAAGGCATTCATAATATTATTATAGTCGCCACAGTTTTCCGCGGTTTGTAGACGTTAGAGTGGGCGTGGCCGAATAAAAACTCGTGGAAAGTTGCAGTGGCATCCGTAAAATACGTATTCTTAAGCCTAACTTTCTAGCTCTAATAGTTCCCGAGATTTTAGCGTTTTTAGTTTTTCGCGATTTGTGGGCGTTAGAGTGGGCGTGCCAGGATGCGGAAATAAACTTGCGCTGTCCCGGGACCTCAAGCATTTTCATGCTTAATCTCAACTTTGTATCTGTTATAGTTCCTGAGATCTCAGCGTTCATACGGACGGTCGGACGGACGGACGGACGGACGGACGGACGGATGGACGGACAGACTGTTATCTATCTGTTACATACTTTTCAACGAATCTAGTACACCCTTTTACTCTACGAGTAACGGGTATTACTATATCAACACCAGAGAACGTCAAGGGTGTCTTTTTTCGGCACCCGAATCACACTTATACGTTTCGGGTGTTTGTCGCACTCACGAACAGAAATTGGTGATAAGCCCGCCGCTGCTCATCCGTCTTTGTCGTTGGCTGTTTGGCCGAACACTCAGTGGAAGCAGAATTTAAGAAAATGATCCTTAAGTAAAGTGGTTTCGAACTCTAACGAGGCGCTTCCATTTAACACCTCGGTCATTGCTAGGGCTCGTACGGATAGTAACGACCCCGTTTATTCTAAACTATACCCGTATTCCATAGGAGCTGGTGAATTTGTTAATAAAGAAATCAAACAGCTTCTTAAGGACGGTATTATTCGCCCTTCTAGATCGCCATTCAACAACCCAACATGGGTTGTTGACAAAAAAGACTCCGCTGCCGACGGCAACAACGTGACCGAGGAAAAACCTCTTTCTACGTTAACGGAGGAAAATATGAGTTCTGCCTTTTACCCTTTGGGCTAAAAAATGAAGGAAGCATTCTCCAAAAGGCGATTGACGATGTGCTATGCGAGCAGATCGGGAAAATCTGTTATGTTTATGTAGACAACGTGGTAATTTTTTCGGAAAATTCTGCCGACCATTTAAGTCACATCGACAGAGTTCTTAAATGCCTGTGTGAAGCCAACATGGAAGTGGCACAAGAAAAAACCAAATTCTTTAAGAGAGTGTGGAATTTTAAGGCTTTATATTTACAGCAGACGTAGTCAAAACAGACCCTGAAAAGCTTAAAACCATAATGGAATACACCAATACACCATACAACCAGCCTTAGATCTTCCATAGGATTGGCCAGTTATTACCGGAGCTTTGTCAAAGACTTCGCTCCTATAGCAGGACCACTTAAGTCCATACTCAAGGGATAGAATGGCTCGGTGAGCAACCATATGTTAAAAAAGGTTGCGGTCGAATTTGATGAAAGCCGACGCAGGGCGCTTGAGCATCTGCGGAACATTTTATGATCAATAGAGGTTATATTAAGGTATCTAGATTTTCAGCCTTTCGACTTGACTACCGATCTTTAGCAAGTAGATCGGTGCCATTTTATCACAAAATAAATGGCCTATCACGATGATATCTCGTACATTAAAATACTGCGAGCTCAACTATGCTACAAAAGAAAGGGAATCGTTGGCAATTGTTTGGGCTATAGGGAAATTACAAAATTATCTGTATTATATACATAATTTTATAATTATCTGTATGGCTCCAAAGAAATTCGAGTTTTCACAGACCATAAACCTCTCACTTTCGCTGTTTCTGTGCGAA